TTATTTGTCTTGATGCAGGTTGCCAGAGGTACTGCAGCTGCCAGTACAGCTGTCACCCTGAAATGTTGAATATTTCACAGCTTGAATGTCTCATTGGTATAATGTAGCCTTAGTGCAAATAGCCGACTGACTAAATCCATTCTCCTTGCCATCCAGTGAGCTGATGATCAAACATATGTCACGATACTTGCAGTCCCATCTCCTTTCAGTTTAACTGGCATTTTGGGCTTCACAGATATATTTTTTGCAAGTGGGATTTTACTTCATTGTTTTTCATCCCCACAGGTTCTCCGATACCACCCTCTCAGTCTCCACAGTCGCTCTTGATGGGAGCGAGGTTGCAGAGTGCTCCTACCCTTACAGATATTTACCAAAACAAGCAGAAGCTCAGAAAGCAACATTCAGACCCAGTATGCCCATCCTATGCTGGGTATGGTTACAGCCATTCTCCACAACCAAGTAGGCCAGGTAGCTTGGGAACATCACCTACCAAGCATATGGGATCGTCACCTAGGAGTTCGGACTGGCTGTTCAAAACTCCGTTACCAACGATCATTGGCTCTCCTACTAAGGTTTGTTAAGTTTGCCACTGTCAGTGAAACGTGAAGTGGTAACACACTACCTGAAACAATTTCCAAGACTATTTTGGGCTTCTAACCTTGGGTTTTGTGTGTTCTTGGTCTTGATTCTTAAAGGCAACGGCTCCTTTCAAAATACCTAAAACTCAAGCGTCCTCAAACTTGCTGGCCCTGGCTAATCGCCAAGGTTTGGTAGATACCCCGTTGCAGCCTAAAGACATCACTGACCCAAGGGATTTCACGCACTTCCACTCGACCCAAGGAGGTGAAAAGCAGACAGGAGAACAGCACAGTAAAACTACATTTGGCAGGTAGGCATTGTAGTATTTATAACCTGTAAAGCTGGGTGGGTAGCTTGGCAGAAGAATGTACACTGCATGCAGCAACTTGGAGGGGAAGAGCATGCAAAAAGTGAGCTGTGAGGAGATGCTGAGGTTTGGTGTATACAACAGAAACATTTTGTACTGTGTATAAATATAGCATGGACTTCCTGGAGTGCTTTGTGTTGCTGTCTAGTACCCTTTTGTTTTGGTTATCTGAATATGGGATTTCATTGCGTCTGTGAAGCCTGTTCAGTTTTTGCTTGAAAATCTATATGGCAAAATTTGCAATATGAATCTTTAAGAGAAAATAGTCTCTTTATGGTTAGCTCTGTTTCAGTAGGCCCATGACGAATAGCATGGTTTCAAGATTTTCTGTATTTTTGTTGAAGAATTATCTGTAATAAATACCAAGAATCTGAAAGTCAGCCTTAGCTGCAAATTAGGTAGGAAGATCTTACTGAAGAACTTTGTTGTGAATTCATACCTTTTTCCATCTAGATCTGTCAGTACTGGGAAGCTATCAGATCAACAGGTAAAGACTACCCTTGGTGGCCAGTTATATCAAGGCAGCACAGACAGCCTCAATACAGAGCGACCAATGGATACAGGTAAGGAACAGACTGGTACATCCAAGCTGTCTTCATCTGCTAGGTTTTTTATGGAGTGCCAACTAGATACAGTTCTGCTTCCAGCTTCGATAATTGGTTCTGACAATTTTTAGCTTCAGTACAGAAGGCTTTTTTTAATCTTTGAAGGGGATATGTTCCATTTCTTTAGCATTGCTTTAAAAATAACTGAGACAGGAAAACATCCATTTCTGTGCTAAACACAGGAGTATCTCAACTGCCTATGCTGGCTAGGTTTGGTTTGATTTTTAATACAATGTTTGTGGCTGTTTCATTTCCTGATTCTACCTTGTTTTCTGATGAAAGCCAGTTTATGTAATTCTGGGTCGTTTTTCTCTTCCTCCCTCCCCAAGCTTGTCCCTTGCCACAAGTGGCCACCAGGAGCTCTCTGCTTGGTTTTGAACAGATGGAAGGAGTTCTGCAGACAGGGCTGGTCTTTAGCCTCCAGACATGTCATGGTCTGCCTTCAGAATTTTTCTGTTGCATCTTTTGCTGCAGGACTGGTGGTGTCCTCAGGCTCTCAGAGAGAGCCTCTGTTGTTCTTTTCTAGGCGAGGGCAGAGCAGAGAGATTGAAAGTAAAAAGATGTATGAAGACTGCATTTTGATTCTTTTTGTGTATCGCCAAGGCTGTCCACTCAGCTTGTTTTATTTGCTGTCAGAACTTTTAACTAGTCCAAGTCTTGGATCTACATCAAAGCGTGTTGTGGTGTAGTGCTCCAGTTTGCTGCATATAATTACATATTGGTATGATTATATGTAATAAGGACTAACTTGCTGAAATTTTCTCTTCCAGCTCCAGCAGGGGCTTATGGAGTTGCAATGGCACCTCCTTCCATGGGAAGCGGGGCAGGTTCTCGGGCTGTCATGTTTACTGTCGGGTCCCCTCCAAGCAGCGCCACCCCTCCTACTTGCACCCACATGGTCCTCAGAACAAGAACCACCTCGGGTAAGATTTTCCTGACAACTGTGGACTGTCCTTAAATGCAGTATTTAGTCTTGCCCACTTCTTGGGCCCGTAACCTGCTTATTGCCACGTGCAGTAGGTCCTCTAGGCCATACAGTAAAAGTGCTCTGTAATATAGACGTTAACATCAGGCCACTTCTGCCTTTTCTCTCCTAAAGAGAGGGCCAGAGGCATGGATCTACAAGACAGCGATGTGTAACCTCCTGTGTACACAGCTTTACTCCACCACAAGGAATATAGGAGATCTCTATGACAAAGGTGCAGAGGAAGCGTTAGATTTCTGATTCTGCACTTTGCCTGCTGCTGTGCATTGTGCCAGTAGCAATACACGTGGGGTGCAAGCTGACTGCATTTAGGCACGTGTCAGCTATATTGCCAAGTATCAAAGATCTCAAGGTAAAGGCCTTCATCTGCTCAGGATGAGCAGGAGTCTGCAGCAGTGTCCTTTTGTGAACTGTGGCACAACCTTTGGTCTGTACTGTTGGACTATCTGCCTTGGAATCCTTGCCAACCGTTTCCCAGAATCTGTGGTATAAAAAGTCACTGTTCATTAAAGTGTAGCCTTTGCATTCTCTACAGAGCGATGCAAGGAGCGATGAGGAGAGCCTCCCGAGAGTGAATCTGTGATGACTGCTGACTTGTCATTTGCTATCATCTGCAGCCCCAGCGCTGTGAGATGGAACAGCCTATTAGACTGAATGTGTGTGTTATTTTTCTTGTAGTTGGATCAAACAGTTCTGGAGGGTCTCTCTGCTCTACTAGTGGCCGTGTATATATGGGCTCTCCTCCTGGTATTTATATGGGTTCTTCTCCTCCGGGAGCCGAGGCAGCTCCGAGTCTGAAGTACATGCCTTATGGTACTTCGCCTCCCAGCTTAGAGGGCTTTATCACTTTTGAAGCTCCCGAATTGCCTGAGGAAACTTTAATGGAGGTATAGAAAAAATAATTTAATGTTTTATAATGTATAATGCTGCTAAAACAGAGCCATGGTAAAAAAAGAATTGCTCAGCACACTTTGTAGTTTCCTCTTCACTATCTCACATAGTCCTTTTTAAGATCTTGAAAATATTCCTGTATCAATTGTGGCCAGTTTCTCTTTGGTAGTTACTCCTGGCATTTCATGTATTTGAATAGGTAACCAAAGGAACATGACTGCTTTTGTTCACCACAGCCTCTATTTTAATGCCAAGTCTCTGGACGTGGGTGCTGACAGTAGCAGTGTCCCTCTGGGCATTGTTTTTAACTTGCTTCTTCACAGTCAGTGGATGGCATTAAATCCTACTTGTGGGAAGAGTGTCCTATATTTTTTTTAAATGTGTGGAGGAGTGACACTTTAAAAACACAGATTGGGGTGGTCTTTCACCAGAATGCTATCTTTGGACTGTAAATTTATCAAGGCAGATTGCTGTTCTGTTTTCTCATTCAGATCTTGCTGGAAGGTGTTTGGATCCTTATCAAATCTATATGTTATAACATGAATGTTTGACAGAACACTGTATTCTTCCCACAGATAGTTTAAAATTTATTTAGCCTTGCATTACTGCTAAAAAGATTATAAATATTGCTAAGATACGTTTGATTAGTTTTGAAGACTTTTTTTTTTTTTTAGCAGACTATGCATGTAGTATCTGTTTCAGTCACCCAAGAAGCAGTGAGTTGTTAGCTCCAATTGAAGTTGTTTATTTTAAATTGTAAACTTTAGCAACAGCCAGCTTTTAACATAATGTAATTCTGGATCCAAGCGTAAATTAGAGTGAAGCAGATAAGTATGAAACTTCAGTTCTCTTTTGTAGATGTCAAGTCTGTTACATAATAAAAGCCAAATGTTCCTCCTGGCTTCTCATATAAGTGCCGAGCATATTTTTGGGTTGCCGATAATATAATAACAAGTAATATGGCCCACTTGTGATTTCCTTGGTTGCTCAGGTTTCAACAAACATAGAACTCCATGTCCCAATTCCTTTGGCTTTGTTAAGTATAAGCCTACAGTATCTTGAAATCCTTAATGAAGAGCACAAGTTAATATCTGTTGATCTGTTTGGACCCATTTGGTTCTGTAGTCCCTAGTGCTGGCTCTACTATAATGTGATTTCTGCATAGAATTGCCATACCAAGAAATCCTCAAATGATTAGCAAGAGTTTTAAGTGTACTTGATTGTCTTATGGCTTACAATAGTTAAATTGTTGTCATCTTTTCCCTCTGACAGAGAGAACATACAGATACACTGCGTCATCTAAACATGATGCTGACATTTACAGAATGCGTTCTGGATCTGACAGCAGTACGAGGAGGAAACCCAGACCTGTGTACTTCTGCAGTATCGCTGTACCAAATCCAAGAGAGCATAGTTGTTGATCAGATCAGCCAGCTAAGCAAAGAATGGGGGTAAGTATGCGGTCAAATAGTATCAAGAGAATTAGTAAACACTGAATACATCAGAAGTGTATTCAGGAAAACTATGCCCTCTTTTTGTTGGGAGTGGTTGTTTTACTGTATAGAACATTTTATAGGAATACATTTTGTAACGACTGAAGACAGATCAGAAAGATAGAGCAAAGGTTAGAGAGACATTAGCTAGCAGACAAATAAAAGGACAGTGTTTTCTGGCCTGGCACATAAATTGGGGAAAGTGGGGAGGAGTTCAGGCTTGAGGCGCAGTATAGCATTTCTAAGCCTGGAAATTTGTGTACCAGCTTCTGTCAGATCTGAGCTGTCTTCTGTTCCTGTTGGCCAGGCTGAAGCAGTAGCTTTGAGGTGGAGGTTGGGAAGGGGGAAGGAGTGTCCAAATTAGACCTTTTTTCAGTGGAACCAATCAGCCCTAATACAAAATCAGAAGCGAGGAGAAAGATGAGAATTTGGAGTGGCGGGAAAGGGCAGTTCCATTTCCTGCCTTCTTCCTGAAAAAAACAACAAAAAAACCCAACAAAAAAACCCTGCAGAGTGTTTGCTTTTTACAGCTGAGAATTCTAGGGGCATAGGAAATGATTCTGCGAGAAAACTACACCCAGTTGCTTGTGGTGAGACATTGACCTCTGGCAGTTGGTCTGCACAAATAAGCGTTCCTTTTTAAAATGTCTACGTTAAAGCAGTTTGTAGTTGCTGCTGCAGCTACTAGATGAGCAGATGTCCTCTCAACCCGTGACACTGCGAAGGGAAGGGAGGGGTGGAGTTGCATTTTAAACATCTGTCTTCCTTTTCTGCTGCTGCTGGGTCCTGTGTAGAGTTGTGATTAAAAAGTGGTGTCTGCCCATGGCTTGAATGTGTTCCAGAAAGGTGTTTTGATATATGATTACTTTTCCCCCCTTCCTAGACAAGTAGAGCAACTGGTGTTGTATATGAAAGCCGCTCAGTTACTAGCATCTTCTCTGCATCTTGCCAAAGCACAGGTGAAATCGGGGAAACTGAACCCATCCACTGCTGTTAAGCAAGGTAAATGCAACATAATCTAATTTGCTTTGCTTGTGAATTTTCTTTGCTGATACATCACTCAAAAAGCTTTAAGTTGCACGATTTGTTTGTTTCTTCTGTACAAGAGAATTGTAGGTATGTAGAATTGCACAGTAAACAAAGATACATCTAGAAACTGTTAAGAAATGGGCAGTTATTAACTTGAGATGGAAATTATTTGATAAATACTTAATTCATAGAAGTGGCAGAGTAAATAAACATTAAAAGCACAAGTTTAAATGGATTGACTTTGCTAGCACTGGGAAAAGCTGAACTGAGGCTATGCTGTTGTTTGGTTGAGTGGGGTTGTTTGGTTGGTTGGTTTTTGGGGTGTTTTGTTTTGTTTTAAATTTCTTCTTACCTTTTTTCCAGTTGTGAAAAGCCTCAATGAGAGATACAAATTCTGTATTGGCATGTGTAAGAAATTGACGGAAAAGTTGAATCGTTTCTTTTCGGACAAGCAAAGGTTCATTGATGAAATCAACAGTGTAACTGCAGAGAAACTCATCTACAGCTGTGCTGTAGAAATGGTAAATCATTCCTTTTACCTAAATGATAGGACATTGAGATGAAACCTCTTCTGCATAACCAGAAAATAGAACGTATGTTTCCAAAATTCTGTTCATGGTAATTTTTGTTAGTCTTTCACTCTCTTTGCTGCCCTGCCTTAACTGTGGCTAAAATTCCTCTGGGACATTTCCCCCACATCAGCACATTTGGTACATGAACACCAGGAAATGAACTCCTAAGCCGCACAGCCCTGTGTGCTGAAGTCTCATCCAGTGAGGCTCACTAAAGCATAGAAGCAACAGAACTCGTCAGTGTACTGGGTCAATTTGAAGAACATCAGCCTGTCCACCCAAAGCAAAAATGGTAGCAAACATGTGGAAGTTTTTTCATGTAATTGATAAACTTTCTATCTGCCATGGCAGTAACCATACAGGAAACTTAATTGCTTTTTTGATGAGAGGGAAGTCTTTTTAACATAGATGTCACAGAAAAGATACTGGCAAATACTGTGCTCAACCCTGATAATGGTGTAGTCATGCACAATTAATTTGTCTCCTTTGCAGGAGAATGTAGGTATAAGAACAAGGATATTTATTCATAAGTTGTTGTAACACATGTAGACCCAAAAGATCAAAAAGTGCATTTATAGCTTAGATGTGCAGAATATCCTTAGTTAATACAGCACAGGTGCCATAATCTCTCAGACTTTGTTTTGTTGTCTTACAGTTATAAAAAACAGATCAGCTAAATTAAGGCTCAAAAATAGTTGCTTAATGACACTTTTATATAACTCATTTTGAATTTTTCATTTCATTACTTGCCTAATGCTGTTTATGTAACTGGATCTCCTGAATGATTCCAGGTTCAGTCGGCAGCTCTGGATGAGATGTTTCAGCAAACTGAAGATATTACATATCGATACCACAAAGCAGCCTTGCTGCTGGAAGGACTGACTAAAATACTGCAAGACCCTGCAGATATAGAAAATGTACACAAGTGTAAGTTTATGTTGAATAATGAAAATACTGAAAATTGCATGGAATTAATGCACTGTAAAATAACACTGAAGTCATCACCTGTGTGTTACCTCTCTCTGTTTGCAGATAAATCTAGCATCGAGCGAAGGCTCTCCGCACTTTGCTATAGCACAGTGGCTGTATATGAGCAGTAAGAATATCCTGAGGACCAGATGGTGTGAACATAAGGGACCACATCGGTGATACTGCACTTTTTTCACTACAGCTTAATTGTTGTCCTTGTTCTGCCCCACGTGGAAGATGATTCTTACATTTCTGTGGTGACTACCAAAGAAACAGCAGCATATTCAAAGAGGAGAAATTCCAAAAGTACACTTGCCTTACTGATCCAGCAGCTCCTTTTTCTTCCTAGCAACAGAATTAAAAAGAATCTCTCTTCACATTTCAAACTGATCCTTATACGTGTGCTTTGAACATGAATGATCAGGGGTTTTTTTCCCTCATGAGGTTTATAGAGTGGATCTTTCTGCATCAGGTACAAAAAGACACTTCCCTCAGAAGATTCCCTCAAAAGTTTGTGAAAAATATTTTTAAGTTGTCAGTAAAATGTGGCAGAGGGAATTTGGGAAACCCTAACCATGTGCAAGTGCTGTTTGAAGCTTTCGGGGCTCAGCTGGCTTGTGCTGGAGATCACATGTTGTAAACATGGCTCAGCTTGTCATATGAAGGGACAGCGAGAAAGCACTCTCTTATGCGGGGGAAAGATGGAAGAAATTGTGCACCATCTGTGCAAAATCCCTAGTGGATTTTCAGCTGATGTGGATACAATTTGATTATCTTCTTCCAAAATATTTTGTTTTGCACTAATTTACTAAAGCAACTGTATATTCATTTTTGAAGAACTATATAAAAAAATAGAGAAAGAAGGCACAATGGACTTGGCTGAATTTCATTTCAGTGTACATAAAATCCTTTTCAGAATTTCAAATGTAGCTTCTAGAAGACTTTCAAACAAAGTGTAAAAACTTGTATTCATGTGAACCTTTCCATTTTATACCTATTTGTCTAATACTTGAGTAACTACTGCTCTGGACTTTCTCAGTAATAGCAGTGTTGAGTTACTGGTTGTTTGCTTTTTATATAGATTTGGTTGCATCTTTTGTTGTGCATGCGATATGTGCTTTAATGCCTGCAGTCTCTAGGGGTGTAATGACAGTTCTCTGTAGTTTGTTTCTTGGGCAGTTTTACAATAAATACTGTAAGCTAAAAGGTTCTGCAAGGAACCATGCAAAAACATAAAACAATGTTGGAGTTTGAGATGCTGATAAATTGATGTAGAATATCGACATACAGTGTGTGAAAAAATCAGGATTATTTTGTGTGCGTTTTGGGGGAGAGGTGGGAAGCTTCATTTAGCCTTATAGGCATTATCATTTCAAGCATCCCATGAGATCATCAGGACAGTGATTTGCAACATATTTAGGCAGATCAGCTTCTCTGGAAATGGTTCCTATACTTTATTTTTGGGACTTTTTTGTGTTACTCAACTGCTTGAATACTTGAATAAACCATTCTCCAGGACAAAATCATTTTAATCCTCTTAAACACAATGGTCTGAACTATTTGACAAAGTTGTGCAGGGCTTACACATCACAATATTGTTTCAGTGTTCGGATAACCATGTGTTTCCTTTTACTTTGACAGAGTAATGTACTTTTTACCTTATTTATCTGTATGAAATTCCAACAGTTAATTTGAAAGTGTTTGTTTATATAATGTTTGTATTTTTAGGTCTTTAATACGGTGTTTCTACCTCTCCTTTGTAATTGCATGCATTATTCTTGAAACTAGGTAATAACTCACTGAACTGTTGTGTAATAGCCTTTTTATTATGGCCTGTATAAATGTATATTAAGGTAAAATAAATACTGACACTAGAAGTGTTTCTATGGTAAAACCAAGTTTCTGTGTCTCTGTAACCAAAGGCCAGTGGTGTTAACTTCAAAGAAACGGTCTGTTTCCCTGCTTGGGGGAAGAGATGCTCACCTCAGCAGCTGGATGTGCCACCGGGACAGGATGGGGCAAGTCGCTTCAGTTCCTTATTTCTGGGTAGCTCTGGCATAAAGTGTCCCTGAGTTTATTTTCACTTGCTTTAGGAAAACAATTTACCCTGCTTTTTTTTTTTTTTTTTTTTTTTTTTTTAACTTGGATTTGGAGACAAATACGGTGAGTAGGTTCCTGGGTAACAGCTGTATGTTCTTTCAACAAGGTGTTTATTTATTGCCTCTAGCAAAGAGGCGCTGTCTGGGCTGCCAGAACAGCGGATACAGAGCTGACTGACAAAAACTGGCAGTAATTTACAATTTCTATCCAAGCCTTACAAAAACCAGGCTTTGTCCACCTTGTAGCTAATATCCTCTCCGCAGCTGAGGTGTGCTGTGGTAGCTGCTGTGTGGCTGGTGTACTTCTTAATTGTACTATCAAGTTTTTCCCAATTTATTATTTAAAACAAACCCCTACGCTTGTGACTGGCACATAACAACAAAAGAGGATGAGGAAGGAGTGAGCAGGGAATGCTAATGATATGTCTGAACACGAATCTGGGAACAAAGCAACAGCCTTAATGCACAAGTCTAGGAGATAGGCTGCTTTTCCCAGGAACTCACTGTTTTTTGTTGGTTTTCTTTTTTTTTTCCTCAGGATTCAAGCTCATTCTCCTTCCACTCTTGCCAGCAAGACTACAGCTGCACAAACAGGAGGAGAAGAAAAGGGCTATTCTTGTTTGCTGTTTTCAGGAGGAGGAGACCAATGCTCATGGCCTGTCTTTCTGCATAAACTCATTCCACAAAGATCCTGAAGCTGTCCTCTGTCTTCAGCTCTCTGCATTGAACAGCAGGTGCTTGTTTCTACCCAATACTTATTTTTTTTCCAGCCTTTTGAAAGATAGAACTAGAAAAGAGATATTTGATGTTGCTGCTTTTCTAGTTCAGCTCTTTAGCATCTACTCAGGAGCACTGTGTTCTGTACTTGTTCTGCTCTCTCCATAGTGTATAATGTCAACTAAGGAATCTGAAACACATTTTGATTGTGACATTTGCTGCTTTTATAAGCAAGAAGTTGAGCTCTGAGCCCTTCCTCTGATACAGAGAATGAAATCTAGTTAATTTAACTTGCAACTAAGATACTACAAATGATTCCGAGAGGCGTTTTTCAGTTCAAAGGTGTGAGTTGTTCTGGGACTTGCTAGGATCTGCGTAGTCCTTGCTGCTTTCTTGTACAACAAGGTCAAGGTATTGCCATTGTCACCTGTGGGTTCAGAGGCAGTAGCTGCTGTTGTGACCCACTGGTGTCACAACACTGCACCGCACAGCCCAGCTGCACCGAAAAGGGAAGCTTGCTTTCTCATCTATAGCAAGTAAAGCCGGATACTGCTGCTTTCAGAGCTTGGTGAGGCTTTGAAATTCAGATAAGCTGGCTTGTGACCTGCCTCCTTTTTGACTCCTGTTTCCTCCTATTTTTTTGCATGGTTTTAAAAATTTTGATCCTTTGACTTTTGTCTGCTCTGATCTCTGCTTGCTACTATCTTTTTTTTGACTGCCCAGGATGCCTTTAAGTCTTTTAAGAAAATCTCCTTTTATCCTGAATTTCCCTGTCCAACCTGCGCCATAGCCCTGGCTGTGACTTTTTAAAGAGTGCCCACATGGCTCCTTTTTGTCAATCAGTGAAGTATAGCTCAGTAACCCCTCTCTTGAGGTCTTCGAATCAGCTGGAGCCCAGTCTAAGTCTTGGCACTGCTTCTTGGGACAAACACCTTTTCAATAGGCTTTTGTATGCGGCAGGCTCCCCCCTCCTCTTTGGCTGAAAGCAAACTAAATGCCAGCGGTGCTGTTGAGTCTTGTTGCAGTCTTTGTGCCAATCATTTTCATTGTTTCTTTGTGTCGCTTTCACATTTTCCATGGCCCCAGCTATGTCTACAATGCAGCCCACAGACCATGGCTCTGTACTACACAGTATCTTGTTCTTGCAAATGTGAGATCAGCCACAGCTTTCAAAACAAGTGATGCCATAAATGAACTGTGCTGCGTTTATTTTTCTAGGTTCCTTAAAATCTCTCCCTGTTGTTAATCTTCTGTACCTGCTGTTATGATTGAGCGCTGTTCGGGCTTCTGTATCTTCCCGTCTTGTGCTTCTGGCAGGATTATGTGACTTCTAGAAAACACTATTGGAACTTGAGACTAGGTAGACATTTAAGCAGAAATTGAGGATCATCAGCCTAGCTAAAAACTTGAAGTTCTGTGAGTGTGGTGTGTGAGATAAAGAAACATCTGTTAATGAGCTTTGTTGTTTGGTGGGCTCTTGAAACCAAATGCTGCACAGCCCATCTTCTAAACCCAAGTCCTCCTTCCCCAGGCTCTGCTGGATGCTTTTGGGAGCAGGGCAAGGAACAGCACAAAGGCATGCTCCCCAGGCACAGTGCAGGGCTGGAGCCTGTCTCACTGCACTGCCTTGATAGAACTGACTCAAGAGGGGAGCGAGAGCAAGGGGCTGCGAGGAATGGAGAGGAGAGCGGGAGTCTCAAGCTCAGCCTCTCAATAAAACATCTCCTGCTGCTCTAAGTATAGCCCTGGGGATTAGAGCTCCCCCAGCACTGCTTACCTCCTGATTCCTCTGGAGTTCAATTACTTTCCCATAAATAGTTCCCTTTATTGTTTCTTAGTGACTGAATAAAAATAGAAAATACTGTCAGCTCCTAGGCGTGGGGAGCGTGCCGCAGACCATGCGTTTTACCGGGTGCTGTCTGGGGAATGCTTCCATCTCACTCAAGATCCCACACTTCCCCGAAATCCACGTGTCTCACTCAGCCTCTCCAGGGAGACTCAACTGATATTTTGCAATGCTTAAAACCTCTGCAGCTTGTTTCCTGTCCATAACTGGCTAAAAGATGTCCCTGTCTCTCAGGATGCACCCACCCTGCTGCTGTCTCATTCCTGCAAATACTGAGGAGCCTTAAGACCAAGTTTCTGCAAAAACGTGGCACAGTACCAGCCTGCTGCCCGCCGGGATGAACTGGGAGATGGGACATTTGCCTCCTGGGTGTGACACCGAGCACAAGAAGCACTGCTCTGGCATGAAAACCTGCCGGCTGAAGGGTGAGAACTCTGCAGGCTCTGGAGAACATCTCCCTGCTCCTGCAGACATCCTTTGGCGAGTGTGCTGCCTGCAGAGGATGCATTGCAGCAGTTTCCCCAGCCACAATGCAACGCTCCACTGAGAGCTCAAAGACTTTTTACTCTGATTGCAGTAGCATTAACTCCTTATCTAATTTTCCTTTTACCCCCAGAGAGTGTGGTGCCTGGGCAGAGCCCCAACCTGCCCTGCCTGCAAGGATGCTACCAGGATCACAGATGGTGCGTTTGCATCAGGTAATGTTCCTGCAAGGAAAGTTGCCACTTCTACTCTCATCTTCTTGAACACAAGCCCAGCTCCTTTTCATATACGGCAGTGCAAGGGCTCTGGCAAGCCCAGCCTGTTTTTCTTTCACGTGTTGCCTCCTGCATGCAAGTGCTGGCAGTTGCTCTTGTCATTCTTTTCCACGTCAGGCTGTTTACTGCTGAGATTTGTGCAATAGCTTGTGAAATGTTCACGTGCTGGCTGAGCCACAGCCTGCAAGTTGTTAGCAAAGCCAGCTGACTTCACCAAAGCCAAGCTTTGTGTTTGGGGGCAGTGGGGGCTCAGGTGCAGCCTTAGGCTGAGCTAAAGGGCACCCCCAGCCTCAGAGAGCCTCACTGATCTGGGAAA